AGAATGGCAGAGACTGACCCAGGGGCTGCCCCAAAATAACGGGGACCAACCCAGGGGCTGCCCCAAAATGGCAGAGACTGACCCAGGGGCTGCCCCAAAATGGCGGGGACTGACCCAGGGGCTGCCCCAAAATGGCGGGGACTGACCCAGGCATTTTGTGGTTTTGCATTAAAAGGAAATAATTAATTAAAAGATATCATGCATTTTATAAAACTTAGAACATTGTAATCTCTTGTTAAAAGATTTTCAATTAAAAAAACCCATAAAGTTAACTGACACTGTTATGATTTACAATTTAATTCTGAATTTTCTGATGAGAGGGAGTTTCCTTCTGAATCCTAATGAGAAAGGGCTGTGGAAATTGAGATATTAAGTACATTGATGAAAGAGTCTCCTAGAAGTGAACTCTCCTCAGAGACTGAAATCAACCATAACCTTGTTTTTATGTCAACCTGGGGAACACAAAAAAGCAAAGAAGACAGAAACGTGGAGCAACTTCTTAAATGTTTTTTGCAAAAGAGAACTTGCTAACCTCAGGCAAGTCAGGTGTTCATGCAACACAAACCTGGCAGTTTTTCCTTGTGCCTGGGATGGGGCAGAACCCTGCTCTGACAGACACCTCCTCTTCCTACGTCCATGCAATTTCTTTTCTTTAGCTTCAGCAGAGAAGAAAGAAAATGGTACAAAATGAAACTCAGACAAAAAGGAAATCCCTCCTGCTTTCCTTTTTTTTTTTTAATAACAATATCTTGTGCTTACTAAAGCATCACTTTTATGACCCACATTTCCAACATACTTAGCCAGCCACACTGAACATCTGTGACCTTCTGTATTTGGGAAGGGAATATGAGAACATTCTTATGGAGCATCACAAGAGGATTTTACATGTCCCATACATACTACATGAAAACCTCTGGAAAATCACTATTGCAGGAACACCTTCCTTTTGCAGAACTGGACAAAACAGTTACTAGCAGTGTTGGGAATGACATAGCTTTTCTAATTTTCAGTGTTTGCTATTAAACCTTTTAATTACTTGTTTCAATTAACCATAAGCTGTATTAGACCTCAAATTACTCTACGGCAGCTACTTTTATAAGAACATAGATTCTTATAAAGTTTCTAAGTTCTACTTAGCAGAAGTAAGAACTTTTGCTAAACTGACCTTGATATGCTTCAATGAGCAAAGCCTGGGAAAGAAAAATATACTGTTGAACTTGGACATCTGGAAGGACATTTTTCAAAAAATAGAATACAAATAATAAGAAGAAAAAAGTATTTGTGCTCGAAAAACCCACCAGAGGGCAAAAGACACTAAAAAGACTACAGATATGGACTAACTGTTATAGAAAAGGAGAAATTAATAGCCAAAAGAAGGTAGAATAGGAACTGAGAAAAGAGAATTATTAATTTAGAAGCAATGATCAATTATCTCTTTGCTTTCTAAAATGTAAAAGCAGGTGAAAAAAACTAGTATTGGTGCCCGTGTGGGGACTGGGATTCTTTCAGTCTTTCACACACACCTTGGGGCAGAAATAAAGTAATGCCTTCCTTTCTAACACTACCAAGATGGTATGAGAGAGTTTTATTTATTCCGACACTTGCAAAGTATTCGGCAACAGAGGCAGAGAACAGAAGCAGGCACCGGTCCAGAACTACAGCTGTTTGTGGCAAAACTGGCAGAATCAATTCTCCATATACAGAATATCCAGGGGGTCAGAGGCTTATTTCGGTAACTGTTCAGCTTCCTCACTTTGTCACGTCTGAAAACACCGAGCAAAGACAACGCTTTTAGTGCAGGCGCTTGAAATCCGCTGGGGCGACCCCGAGGGGAGCCGAGCCCGCCGCCCCCTCAGCCCTTTCGCGCCCTTTTCGCCCACCGAGCGCGGCGCGCGCTGCCCGCCACAGCGTGAGGGGATCGAGGAGGAGGAGGAGAAGGAGGAGGAAGAGAAGGAAGGAGTGCGGAGGAAAACTCGCCGATCACCGCCGTGTATCTGTCAGCGCTGCGAGGGGAACTGCTGGCGCTGCGAGTGAGGGATCGCCACCGCCTCAGCGGCGCCCAGCCCCGGCGCAGCAGCGCGGAGGAGGAGGCGAAGGAGAAGGCCGTGGTGGCCGCCGCCATGTCGGTCAGTTCCCAGAGAGAGAAGCGTCGCCGTAACCAAGCGAAGAGCCCGGAGGCGGGGCAAGTAGCGGGACCGGAGTCGCGGCAGGACGGATGGAGCCGAGGGACGGGCGGAGCCGAGGGCGGCGCGGAGCCGAGGGCAGGGCGGAGCCGAGGGACCGCGGGAGCCGCCGATCGCCGGGAGAAGGACGTTGCGCCTGAGGGTAGAGCTGGAGCCTCGCAAATGGTCGGACTTCGTTTGCAGTCTTTGGTTCCCGTGAACTTCTGTTCCCGTCCCTCAGCACCGCCCTTCCCTCAGCTCCTCGCGTCCCTCAGCTCCTCGCTTCCCTGAGCTCCGCCCGCCCCCCGTCGGTCCCGCTACTTGCCCCGGCTCCTCCCTCGTCGCTTGGTTACGGCGTCGCTTCCGTCCCTGGGGACCGACCGACATGGCGGCGGCCACCACAGCCTTATCGTTCTCCTTCGCCTCCTCCTCCTCCTCGGCGTTGCTGCGCCCGGGCTTGGCGCCGCTGAGGCGTTGGCGAGCCCTCACCGGCCCGGCTCCGCGGGCCGCCTGCAGCGCCAGCAGCTCCCCCTGCAGTGCCGACAGGTACGCGGCGCCCATCGGGGCGTTTTTTCCTCGTTCCTTCTTCCTCCTCCTCCTCCTCGGTCCCCTCACGCCGCGGCGGGAAGCGCGCGCCGCGCTGGGCGGGCGAAAAGGGCACGAAAGGCCTGAGGGGGCGGCGGGCTCGGCTCCCCTCGGGATCGGCCTTGGCGGTGGATGGCCTCGGATCCCCGACGAGTTCGGCGGTTCTTCCCGGGAAAACGGAGGTGTGTGCCAGCGGGATGGGGGGCGGCGAGCGGGCCCGGCCCTGGCCTCGGTGGTCCAACGGGGATTTAAGCGGTGCGCCTGGAAGGAGCCCTTGCGGTGTGATTTTCCTGTCCCCTCCTCGAGGGGAAGCTGGTATTACACGTTTGTTTGCTCCTGGTACCTTAAAGAGCCTCTCCGTGGTTTTCTAGAGCATTACCATGTGTATTAATGACGTGGTGGCAAGCAGGACACAGTTTGGTGCAGTGAGGACCGTTGTCCTGACATTAATCACCGCGCTGGTTTAATTTATTGTGCTGTCTGCGCAGGGATTCCTGTGGTAGTGTTGTAGCCCAGCACCTCCGAGCAGTTGCCTGGGTGTGGATGGGAGGGTTTCACTGGGCTCCTGCTTGTCAGCCTTTGCGTTTATATTGGAGTTGTCTTAAATGCTGACTGAAAGTTGTCTCTGTTCAGCAGAACCCAAGCGCCTGTGCTGCAAGCATTGTCTTTGCTCTGTGTTTTCAAAGGTGAAAAGATGAGGAAGCTGAACAGTCCTTGAAATACGTATCTGCTGTTCTGTCTATGGAGAATTGATTCTGCCAGTTTTGGCACAAGCAGGTGTCTTCCCAGAGCAATGCATATCCTGCTTCTGTTCTGTGCTGCTAGTAAGTGTTTTTTGCAGTTGTGCAAAAGGGAGATGTTCCTGCCATAATGATTTTCCAGAGGTGTTTGTGTGGTGTGTATGGGACGTGGAGAATCCTGTTGTGATGCTCCATGTGATCTTGGGCTTTTAGTGTATAGGTTGATCTGAGACAGCACCTGAGATCTTTGTTTCTGTCCTGCCCTGCAAGTGACTGGATTAATTTACAAGAAGAATTGAGTAAGTGAACTTCCTGTTGTAAAGTCTCGCTTTACTGGGTTCAGAATAAGAGCATCCGTGCTCTAGGAGACCAGTGGGACAGGGTGGCATAGTAACACATCTGAAATCTGTCATTTAACCTGGTCATTACATCTGTCATAAATGTCAGTAAATCTGTCACTGACCAACAGCTGGTCAAGGTTTTCATGTGGCTAATGTTTAAAATAATAATAGTAAGAATTCACTTCCTAATTTCAGTGTCTTGAATAGCTCCTGCAATGTAACCTTTCTGTACAGCTGAAGCTTTCCTTGTTCAAGTGGTTCTTGTATAATAATTCCATCGAAGGACGTAGACTATCTGGATTCTAAACCTGAGAAGCACCAACATATTTTGGTATTTAGTATTTAGTGTTTTTATATTTGGCATCTGTGAAAAATGCTATTTCCCCTCTCCCTTCGCAGTAGATATGAAATAGTAAAAATAGAGCTACTGTTTGCATTGATACCTTTCTTAACTTCAGAGTAGCTGCTGGAATGCAGGAGAGGTTGGTTCTTGTGAAGTGGGGCCATTCTATAACTTCCTGCTAAGGTACAATTGTCCTTGTTTTCTTCTGCCTGTTTGAACTAATGTGAAATAATTTTTGCCTTCTATATACGGACTTCTATATTGCTGCAAAAAATAATCCTTCTGAGATGGAAATGGAGCAGAGCAGCCCCTCAACATCCAGTCACCGTCCTTTTATCTGCTCCCCTCGGCTGGGGCCCCCCAAGGTGTGGCTGTGCTTCCCTGTTCCCTGTGGGGCCCAAGGAGTCAGTCCCTGCCATTGTGGGGGCTCTCGAGGCCCTGGGTCAGTCTCTGCCATTTTGGGGCAGCC